CCCCATGGAGCTCCACCGAGGCCCCCACTGGGACCGTCTGGGCCGAAGCCCCCAGTGGGGGTCCGTCTGGGACGCATGATTTTGGCATTTTCACCCACCCAGTACAGCGTTTCGCGGCCCCGTAGGGAGTTCCACCGACGGCCCTAGTGCTACCGCCCGCATGCGTTCCCCCCCACCCAATACAGCTCTTCGTGGCCCCATAGGGAGCTCTACCGAAAACCCCAATGCCACCGTCCGCACGCGTCCCGACACTTTAATTTTGCTTTTTTTTACCCACCCAATGCACCGCTTCGTGGCCCCATAAGGAGCTCCATCGAAGGCCCCAGTGCCACTGTCCGCACGCGTCCCGAAACATCCCATTTGCCATTTTCACCCACCCAATAGAACGTTGCGTGGCCTCATCGGAGTCACACCGAAGGCCCCAGTGCCACCGTCCGCACGCGTCCCGAAACATCAAATTTGGCATTTTCAGCCACCCAGCACAGCGTTTCGTGGCCTCATAGGGAGCACCGAAGGCACCAGTGCCACCGTCCGCATGCGCCCCGAAACGACAATTTTGTCATTTTCACCCACCAGTACAGCGTTTCGCGGCCCCCATCGAAGCCCGCAGTCGGACCGCCCGCATGCGCCCCACACGCGCAATTTTGCATTTTCACTCACCCAGTACAGCACTTCGTGGCACCATAGGGAGTCACACCGAAGCCCCCAGTGGGACCACCCGCATGCGTCCCACACATTCAATTTGGCATTTTCACCCATCCAGCACAGCGCTCTGTGGCCCCATAGAAGTAGTATCGCCCGCATGCGCCCCCCACATCCAGTACAGCTCTTCGTGGCCCCGTAAGGAGCTCCACCGACGGCCCCCAGTGCGACCGCTTGCATAGTTCCCCCACCCACCCCACCCAGTACAGCGCTTCTTTGCCCCACAGTGATCTCCACCGAAGCCCCCAGTGGGACCGCCCACTTGCGTCCCCCCCCACCCAGTACAACGTTTCGTGGCCCCATAGGGAGCTCCACCGACGGCCCCAGTGCTGCAGCCCGCATGCGTTTCCCCCACCCAATGCAGCGCTTCGTGGCACCATAGGGAGCTTCACCGAAGGAGCTGTTCATAATTGCGGTGCCCACAACTGCATATGGTTGGGTCCTTCGCCAGGATTTTTTTATAAAGATATTTGGAGGGGGGGATCCTTCTGTGGAGGATGTCAATACAACTCCTTTTTGTGGACGGATTCAATAGAAATCCTTCCGTGGATGGATTCAATAGAAATCCGTAGGTGGACGGTTTCAAACAGTGATTTGAACACGACCCCCCCCCATATATATATATATATATATATATATATATATATTATAGACATACATACATACATACATACATACATACATACATACATACATACATACATACAGACATACAGACATACAGACATACAGACATACAGACATACAGACATACAGACATACAGACAAACAGACATACAGACATACAGACATACAGACATACAGACATACAGACATACATACATACATACATACACACATACATACATACATACATACATACATACATACACACACACACCTGCATGCATGCATGCATACATACATACATACACACATACATATATATACACATAAATATCCTGGCGAAGGACCCAACCATATGCAGCTGTGTGTGTGTGTGTGTACAGCGTTGTGGGTACCGCTCGCGGTGAAACGCCCATATGGGGCCACGATCCTCGTGAGGGGTGTGCCGACATGGGCGGGGGGGCGCATGCAAATTTTGCCACTGGTGCCTTCGGTGGAGCTACCTATAGGGCCACGATCCTCGTGAAGGGTGTGCCGAAATCAGCGTGGGGACGCATGCAAACCTTGCCGCTGGGGCCTTCGGTGGGGCTCCCTATGGGGCCAGGTGTGCCGAACTGGGCGGGGGGACGCATGCAAACCCGCCGCTGGGGCCTTCGGTGGAACTCCCTATGGGGCCACGATCCTTGTGAGGGGTGTGCCGAAATGGGCGGGGGGGACGCATGCAAACCCTGCCGCCGTGGCCTTCGGTGGAGCTCCCTGCGGGGCCACGATCCTTGTGAGGGGTGTGCCGAAGTGGGCGGGGGGACACATGCAAACCTTGCCGCAGAGGCCTTCGGTGGAGCTCCCTAGGGGGCCACGATCCTAGTGAGGGGTGTGCAGATATGGGCGGGGGGACGCATGCAAACCCTGCCGCTGGGGCCTTCGGTGGAGCTACCTATAGGGGCCACGATCCTTGTGAGGGGTGTGCCGAAATGGGCGGGGGGACGCATGCAAACCCTGCCGTTGGGGCCTTCGGTGCAGTTGCCTATGGAGCCGCGATCCTCGTGAGGGGTGTGCCGAAATGGGCGGGGGGACGCATGCAAACCTTGTCTGAGCTCCTTATAGGGCCACGATCCTCGTGAGGGGTGTGCCGACATGGGCAGGGTGACGCATGAAAACCATGCCGCTGGGGCTTTCGGTGGAGCTGCCTATGGGGCCACGGTCCTCATGAGGGGTGTGCCGAACTGGGCGGGAGGATGCATGCAAACCCTGTCGCTGGGGCCTTCGGTGGAGCTCCCTATGGGGCCACGATCCTGGTGAGCGGTGTACCAACATGGTGGACATGCGGCGAGCAGAAGCAGGAATGGGAGGAAGGAGGGGGCAGCGAGAGGAGGTGAGACGCGGGGCATTGTCTCTTTACAACGAGGACCCACCACCACAGGACGGTTGGGAAAAATGGGCGGCCGCGCCGCCGATTTTGTTTTTGGGGGGAGGGAGGACGAACAAAAAGGAACAGGTATTGAGAGAGGAGGGGGAGTTGGTGGAGGAGAGCGAGAAGGAGAGAGAGAGAGAGAGAGAAAGAGAGAGAGAGAGAGAGAAAAAAATAACATAGAGGAAAACGAGAAGGAAGAGGGTGACGGCGAATTGAAACAAATACAAAATTATCCTGGCGAAGGTCCCAACCATATGTAGTTGTCGGTACCGTAATTGTGAATATCTGCTTCGGTGAAGCTCCTTATGAAGCGCTGTACTGGGCGGGGGGGAACGCTGTACTGTGTGGGTGGTGTGCCGAATTGGGTTTCCGGGACGCATGCGGACGGTCCCACTGGGGGCTTCGGTGGAGCCCCCTATGGGGCCACGAAACGCTGCATTGCGCGGGTGAAAATGCCAGATTCATTTCCCGGACGCATGCGGACGGTGGCACTGGGGCCTTGGGTGGAGCCCCCTATGGGGCCACGAAACGCTGCACTGGGTGGGTGAAAATGCTAAATTGGGCTTCGGGACGCATGCGGACGGGGGCACTGGGGCTCTCGGTGGAGCTCCCTATGGGGCCACGAAGCGCTGTACTGGGTGTGCGGGACGCATGTGGACGGTAGCGCTGGGACCTTCGGTGGGGCTCCCTATGGGGCCACGAAGCGCTGTGGGTGTGCGGGACGCATGCGGACGGGAGCACTGGGACATTCGGTGGGGCTCCCTATGGGGCCACGAAACGAAGTATTGGGCGTGCGGGACGCATGCGGACGGTAGCACTCGGACCTTCGGTGGAGCTCCCTATGGGGCCACGAAGCACTGTACTGGGCGGGTGAAACGCAGGGAGGAGGGGGAGGAGGGCCACGAAACGCTGTACTGGGTGTGCGGGACGCATGCGGACGGTAGCACTGGGACTTTCGGTGGAGCTCCCTATGGGGCCACGAAACGTTGTGGGTGTGCGGGACGCATGCGGACGGTAGCGCTGGGACCTTCGGTGGGGCTCCTTGTAGGGCCACGAAGCGCTGTACTGGGTGTGCGGGACGCATGCGGACGGTAGCACTGGGACCTTCGGTGGGGCTCCCTATGGGGCCACGCTGTACTGGGTGGGAGAATCGCAGGGAGGAGGGGGAGGAGGGCCACGAAACGCTGCACTGGGTGTGCGGGACGCATTCGGACGGTAGCACTGGGACCTTCGGTGGGGCTCCCTATGGGTCCACGAAGCACTGTACTGGGTGGGCGGGACGCATGCGGACGGTAGCACTGGGACCTTCGGTGGGGCTCCCTATGGGGCCACGAAGCGCTGTACTGGGCGTGCGGGACGCATGCGGACGGTAGCATTGGGACCTTCGGTGGGGCTCCCTATGGGGCCACGAACCGTTGTACTGGGTGGGTGAAACGCAGGGAGGCGGGGGAGGAGGGCCACGAAACGCTGTACTGGGTGTGCGGGACGCATGCGGACGGTAGCCTTGGGACTTCCGGTTGAGCTCCCTATGGGGCCACGAAACGCTGTATTGGGCGTGCGGGACGCATGCGGACGGTAGCACTGGGACCTCCGGTGGGGCTCCCTATGGGGCCACGAAGCGTTGTATAGGGTGGGTGAAACGCAGGGAGGAGGGGGAGGAGGGCCACGAAACGCTGTACTGGGTGTGCGGGACGCATGCGGACGGTAGCACTGAGACCTTCGGTGGAGCTCCCTATGGGGCCACGAAACGCTGTACTGGGTGTGCGGGACGCTTGCGGACGGTAGCACTGGGACCTTCGGTGGGGCTCCTTGTAGGGCCACGAAACGCTGTACTGGGTGTGCGGGACCCATGCGGACGGTAGCATTGGGACCTTCGGTGGGGCCTCCTATGGGGCCACGAAACGCTGTACTGGGTGTGCGGGACGCATGCGGACGGTGGAGAGGGGGAGGGGGCAGAGGAGGAGGGGAGAACGCGGGGACCGTCTCTTCAAAACGAGGACGCAACACCACAGGATGGTTGGGAACAATGTAATGCAATTGAAGGGCAGAGAAGCGTTTCACTCGATAAAGCCAGATGGGAAGAGCGAGGGGCTCCACAATCCCCCGTTTTCGAGGAGGAGGAGGGGGAGGAGGAGGAGGAGCAGGAGCAGGAACAGGAGCAGGAGCAGGAGCAGGAGCAGGAGGGGGAGGGAGGGAGGGAGAACGAGAAGGAGGAGGAGGAGGAGCAGCAGGAGGAGGAGGAGGAGGCTGAAGAGGAGGAGGGGGGCACGTCGCGGGCTAGATCGAGAAGCTCTTCTGCTACGACGCAGAGGTCGAGCGGGGCGAGGACGAGGAGGAAGAGGATGCCGAACCGCAAGAGGATCCCCTCCCGCCGCGGCGCCGTCGCCATCGTCACAGTAAGGCTCGCCATTGGGGAAACGTGTCCTGGGGGAAAGGGGCCCTGAGGTTTCCAGGCCCTCGGGGCCCTCCACGGGCCCCGGGACTCAGAAAACGGCTCAGGGTGAATGACTCGTCTTGGGGGAGGGCGCCGCGGTCCAGGACCCGTTTCCCTCAGGACCCGCTTCCTTTGTGTTGGCAAGAGTTGGAGTGGGAACCAAGCTGGCGGGGTCGCGCGGGCCAGCGGCCCCGCCCACTCCCACACTCCCTCCCGCCCACGGCATGGTAGGAATCGATGGTGGCACGGCTTGACGCTGGGAGCAGAACGCACCCCCACCTCACGACCAGAAGGCGCTCCCGGGCACTCCCGCTTCCGACGGCCGGGCGCGGGAGAAAAGAGGCGGGCCGCGCACGCAGAAGTGGATCTCCAGAAAATGTTTGCGCGGCGTTGTGGCGAGAGCACCATTTAGCGCTCTCTCGGGCGGCCAGGTGTCCAATAAGCGCGGCGACGACGAAGCCTGCGCCGCGCCGAAACGGAATTGTCAATTTCACGCACAAGGTGCGCGGCGCCTGGGCGATGACAACACTTCGCCCGGTGTCGCGCGGCCATGTTGCCGCTGCTGCTTTCATGCGACTCGGCGAGCGGCCACTTCCGGGCGAAATATGCACGGAGCTTTAGCGAGGGTGGCAAGTCGCCCGCTCACGCGCCCGGCACCGCCCCCCCCAACTTGGCGAGGGACCCGACCTGGCGAGGAACAAATACGCGCCGCGCCGAGGCGGGATCGCCACTTTCAGGCGAAATCGCCGAGGCGGGATCGCCACTTTCAGGCGAAGTTTGCGCGGCGCAACCCCTCGCTCCAGTGGGCGGCTGGGAAGACAGACCAGTAGAGATCGTCCTCTGGCGGGCCGCGCATGGATACCGAGCGCCGCGCTACGTCCACAACGCCTGGCCCTGCTCCTGAAGGAGCAGGGTGGGGGGAGGCGAGTGGGGAAGAGGAGGGGTAGGGATGGGGGGGGCGACGACGCGGTGGTGAGAAGGAGGATGGAGAGGAGGAGGAGGAGGAGGAGGACGGGAGGAGGAGGAGCAGGAGGAGGGAGGAGGAGGAGAGGAGGAGGAGGAGGAGGAGGAGGAGGAGGAGGAGGAGGAGTGAGGTAGGAGGAGGAGCAGGCGGAGGAAGGATGGAGGAGAGGAGGAGGAGGATGGAGGAGGAGGGGGAGGGGGAGGGGGGAGGGGGAGGGGAGGGGGAGGGGCGATGGGAGGGGGAGGGGAGGGGGAGGGGAGGGGGAGGGGAGGGGGGAGGGGAGGAGGAGGAGGAGGAGGAGGGGGGACGGGGAGGGGAAGGCAGGTAGAGGCGGAGGAGGAGGAGGAAGGAGGAGGAGGAGGAGGAGGAGGAAGGAGGCGGAGGAGGAGGAGGGGAGGAGGAGGGGAGGGGGAGGGGAGGGGGAGGGGGAGGCGGGAGGCGGGAGGGGGAGGGGGAGGGGGAGAGGGAGGGGGAGGGGGAGGGGGAGGAGGAGGGAGGAGGAGGAGGAGGAGGAGGGAGGAGGAGGTAGGAGGAGGAGGAGGAGGAGGAGGAGGGGAGGAGGAGTAGGGAGGAGGGGAGAGGGGGAAGGCGGGAGGGGGAGGGGAGGAGGGGGAGGGGGAGGGGGACTCGGGATATCGATGCGAATCGTATCCAAGAATAGATATTGATGAGAATCAAAGATCAGTCTTCAGAGAAAACGTTAGGATATCGTATATGTCTTTTCCTCTAAGCCAAACGGCTATAGTACGTAGCAAATCAGCAGACAGGCAAGCAGGAGCGTAGCCTAGACACTATACTTTGGGACGAACCGTCCAGGGCTCCTAAGAGGCTCTTTACAGGACCCGCTGGAGAAACCTATCATACATCAGAATTCCAACTCTTGTCATACTCTCTTGGTTTCGAGAGCATCTACAACAGTTCAATCCTAAAACGGATCCGAAGAGTCGATATCCTGAATGTGATAGGCGTGTCTAAGTTACATGTGCGAGCGCGCGAGCGTGCGTGAAGCCTTGACGTTCTTCACATCGCACAATAAATAATACCAAAACCGTGTCTGCACATATATCTTGATATATCCATCGCAATCCCAATGTGCATGACCGTCCAGATATCATCTGTTCTGTTCAGATATCATCAGTTGTCAAAATATTATATTATCGGGCTGGCATGGCATGTTTAAACACGCCTTCTCCTCCTCCTCCTCCTCCTGCTCCTCCTCCTCCTCCTCCTCCTCCTCCTCCTCTTCATCCCGAACGGCATCTCGGAGCCCAGAGTTGCGAGGATGTCTCCAGCGTAACGGGCTGGACCACCTCGCGCGCGGCATTTCGGACCCCAGAGTTGCGACGATGTCTCGGGCGAAACGTGCTGCGAGGAAGTCTCAGGCGAAACGGGCCAGACCACCTCGAGCGCGGCGTCTCAGAGCTCCGAGTTGCGGGGGCCTCCTGGGCCTCCTGGGACCTCCTGGTGACCTCCTGGGGCTTCCTCCTGGGCCTCCTGTGGCCTCCTGGACCCCACCTGGGGCTTCCTGAAGCCTCTTGGGGCTCCCAGGGGGGGATATCTAACATGTGGCCGTCGGGGCCCCCCAAAATGGGGGGGGGCACAAGAGCAGGAAAAATCAACGAATCGACACCGGATGTGTATTAACTTGACACGTTCTGAGAGGGGGCCTCCTGGGGCCTCCTGGGAGCCTCCTGGGAATCTCCTGGGGACCCCTGGGGCCTGTCCTGGGCGTCCTGCGGCCTCCTGAGAGCCACATGTGGTCTTCTGGGCCCCCAGGCTGGACCACCTCTTGCGCAGCATCTGAGAGCTCAGAGTTGCGAGAATGTCTTGTGCGAAACGGGCTGGACCACCTTGCGAACGGCATCTCAGAGCTCAGAGTTGCGAGGATGTCTCAGGCGAGATGGGCCGGACCACCTCGCGCAGGGCATCTCGGAGCCCAGAGTTGCGAGGATGTCTCCAGCGTGACGGGCTGGACCACCTCGCGCGCGGCATTTCGGACCCCAGAGTTGCGACGATGTCTCGGGCGAAACGTGCTGCGAGGAAGTCTCAGGCGAAACGGGCCGGACCACCTCGAGCGCAGCGTCTCAGAGCTCCGAGTTGCGGGGGCCTCCTGAAGCCTCCTGGGACCTCCTGGTGGCCTCCTGGGGCTTCCTCCTGGGCCTCCTGTGGCCTCCTGGACCCCACCTGGGGCTTCCTGAAGCCTCTTAGGGCTCCCAGGGGGGGATATCTAACCTGTGGCCGTCGGGGCCCCCCAAAATGGGGAGGGGGCACAAGAGCACGAAAAATCAACGAATCGACACTGGATGTGTATTAACTAGAGACGTTCTGATAGAGGGCCTCCTGGGGCCTCCTGGGAGCCTCCTGGGAATCTCCTGCGGACCCCTTGGGCCTGTCCTGGGCGTCCTGCGACCTCCTGAAGCTCTCTTGGGCCTCCTGGGGCTCCCAGGGTCCCAGGGGGGATATGTAACATGTGGTCTTCTGGGCCCCCAGGCTGGACCACCTCTTGCGCAGCATCTGAGAGCTCAGAGTTGCGAGAATGTCTTGTGCGAAACGGGCCGGACCACCTTGCCACGGCATCTCAGAGCTCAGAGTTGCGAGGATGTCTCAGGCGAGATGGGCCGGACCACCTCGCGCAGGGCATCTCGGAGCCCAGAGTTGCGAGGATGTCTCCAGCGTGACGGGCTGGACCACCTCGCGCGCGGCATTTCGGACCCCAGAGTTGCGACGATGTCTCGGGCGAAACGTGCTGCGAGGAAGTCTCAGGCGAAACGGGCCGGACCACCTCGAGCGCGGCGTCTCAGAGCTCCGAGTTGCGGGGGCCTCCTGGGGCCTCCTGGGACCTCCTGGTGACCTCCTGGGCTTCCTCCTGGGCCTCCTGTGGCCTCCTGGACCCCACCTGGGGCTTCCTGAAGCCTCTTGGGGCTCCCAGGGGGGATATCTAACCTGTGGCCGTTTGGGCCTCTCCAAATGGAGGGGGGGGCACAAGAGCAGGAAAAATCAACGAATCGACACCGGATGTGTATTAACTTGACACGTTCTGATAGGCGGCCTCCTGGGGCCTCCTGGGAGCCTCCTGGGAATCTCCTGGAGACCCCTGGGGCCTGTCCTGGGCGTCCTGCGGCCTCCTGGTGTGGGGCCTCCTGGGGCCTCCTGGGGACCTCCTGGAGCTTCCTCCTGGGCCTCCTGTGGCCTCCTGAACTCCACCTGAGGTTTCCTGAAGCCTCTTGGGGCTCCCAGGGGGGATATCTAACCTGTGGCCGCTTGGGCCCCTCAAAATGGAGGGGGGGGCACAAGAGCAGGAAAAATCAACGAATCGACACCGGATGTGTATTAACTTGACACGTTCTGATAGAGGGCCTCCTGGGGCCTCCTGGGAGCCCTGGGAATCTCCTGGGGCCCCTGGGGCCTGTCCTGGGCGTCCTGCGGCCTCCTGGACCTCTCTGGGGCCTCCTGAGGCTCCAGGGTCCCATGGAGGATATGTAACATGTGGTCTTCTGGGCCCCCAGGCTGGACCACCTCTTGCGCAGCATCTGAGAGCTCAGAGTTGCGAGAATGTCTTGTGCGAAACAGGCCGGACCACCTTGCGCACGGCATCTCAGAGCTCAGAGTTGCAAGGATGTCTCAGGCGAGACGGGCCGGACCACCTCGCGCAGGGCATCTCAGAGCTCAGAAGTTCGAGGATGTCTCAGGCGAAACGGGCCGGACCACCTCTCGCGCGGCATCTCCGAAGTCAGAGTTTCGAGGATGTCTCAGGCGAAACGGGCCGGACCACCTCGCGCAAGGCATCGCAGAGCTCAGAGTTTCGAGGATGTCTCAGGCGAAACGGCCCAGACCACCTCTCGCACGGCACCTCGGGGCTCAGAGTTTCGAGGATGTCTCAAGCGAAACGGCCCGGACCACCTCTCGCGCGGCGTCCCGGAGCGCAACTTTTCGAGGATGTCTCAGGCGAAACGGCCAATCC